GCCTATAAAAATGTAACTGAACTTTTGTTGTATTTCTTCCCTCTCTATTATATATATAAGATTCCATCGATATTATTATTATTATTATTACTCTGAAGAAGTCCTTTCGAATATCGAAACGCCTAACGTAGGATCTTTTTCCATTCTTTTTTCATTCAATTCCCCGTTCTACAGTATATAAACTGATAGAAATAAACTTGGGCAAATCGATTATTTTGCAATCAATGAAACACGTACAAGTAATTGATCGAACTAAAATCATTTTGATGTTTTATTTATTTATTTAGTCACTTATTTATTTATTTATTCGAACTTTTTTTTCTGTTTATTTTTAATAGGGCTTGACTGGACCCATGGGCGATCCAGGAATTGACGGGAAAGATGTAAGTATCGATATATCAATTTTAAAAAACAGATTGTAATTCCAAATACTTTCTAATGCCATAAGATATTTTGAAAAAGGTCCTTTGTTAAAATTTATTCCTTTCCGAAACAAACCCCTGCAGGGATTTATTGCTTTTCAAAAAGACCCCTTAAAAGGATTTACATCTGTCCAGATCGGAAGAAATGTTGATAAAAACTCTCAGTGGCAGTGTCTGGATTCACCAGAAAGTACCATCCAGTTAATGACGACGAAAGAGAAAATCTTCTTCATAAGAACCATTTTTGTATGACTTTTTAATCTGATGGTTTCACTGGACAGTATTAAAAGAAAGAAAGAAAAATGTTAAAAAAGAAAGAAAGAATAAAAGGAGAAAGAATGAGAAAGATTGAGAAAGAATGAATGAGATTGGGAAAGAATGAGAAAGATTGACCAGGAGAAAGAATGAGAAAGAAAGAATGAGAAAGATTGAGAAGGAGAAAGAATGAGAAAATAGGAATGAGAACAAAAGAAAGAGAATGAGAAAGAATCCGAATGAGAATTAGAAGTAATGAGATTGGAAAAAAAAAAAGATTCGAAAAAAAAAATGATAAAAATGCTATTATTTTTCGAAAGGTTTCTCCAGCCTGATTAAGTTCTGCTTGCAAGTACATGCCTGGTGTAATCTCACTTTTTGCGGGGACGAAAACTCTCTTTAGAATGTTAATAGCTTCTTTTATACATTCGTTGAACAGTTCTTATGCATCAGACAGCACGCAGTTTAAAAGAATATTCCTGAAGAAGTTTAAAAATGTTCGGTACTAATTATTCCTTATTTTCTCTGCCCCGGAGACCTTACTATCTAGATCCAGAATTTTAGGGTTTTATACTTTGTCTATGTTGATATCCAAAGCAAAAATAGTAGGTAATAGAACGTTGTAAACTATAATTAGTTAAGTGTTCACAAGTACTTCTCGTTTTGTTTTCAAGGCCAAAATTAGTTAAGCCTCCATCTGTATCAACTGCTATTTATATGGTGGAGATTTGCATATGAATACAACACAACCCACATTAAATATTTCTGTACAAGAGACAATAACAGCTATGAGTGGCAAAATGGACGGGTTTGTAGTACATACAAAGCAGCAAAACAATGAAATTGTATCTGTCCATTATTTTTTTCATTCGTCTTCAGTATTATGAACAAAAAAATTAATAGTTATAAAATAATATGAATGCCGTTGTAAAAATGGTAAAAGTTATCAAATCGAGGGCACTTAAATATTGTGTTCTTATATCTAAAACGCTTATTTTCCTCACTGAAGGTCGTTGGCTGCCGGGGGACGTGTGTTGAGTCGTACTTAAGAACTCGAAGATAAAATGATCAAAATGTTTGCTCGTGATGATAACAAAAAAAATTTATGAAACGTTGCATGATGAACTTCGGTGTTCAGAGATGGCGGATCTGTGTAACTCTAAATTTGTAACTCTAAATAAGTAAATATTTGTAACTCTAAATAAGTAAATATTTGTAACTCTAAATAAGTAAATATTTGTAACTCTAAGTTCAGTTCTAACATGACGAGAAAGAAAAAATATTTTGACATCTACTGGGAAGTTTCAAAGATATAATACAGAAATGGTTGAATGAAGTAAGAAATTGAAATTTCAGCCTGTTTCCAGAAAAAAACGTGCCCACAGAAAATATGTTCCGATATCAAAGAATAAATTCTTGATCATTTGGAATTAATGAAGAAAATGGTTAACAGTAATTTTTTGGATGATTTAACTGGGCTATTAACCCTTTCCTTACACTAATATAACAATACACATTAACCCTCTACCTTGATTGGTTCTTGAGCCTTGTATGGGGGTGAACATTAGAAAAAAACGTCTTTTTAGTTTGATTTGGTTTGTTTTGTTTTACGGCATATCAACCTCAATAGGTTATTTAATGTCGACAATATTTTTATTGCTAGTAATATTTTTTCCAAAAATGTATTACTGGTAATATTTTTTTAAAAAATGTATTGCTAGGAATAATTTTTTTTCTTCAAAAATTCATCGCTGGTAATATTTTTTTGCAAAAATTTATTGCTGGTATTAAAACCTATTTTTACACTTTCATAGAGTTTTGACCCCAGTTTGGGGGTTAACTATTTAATCATAGCTGGGACCTTAACAGTTGCTACCACCCCGGGTCAGGGTGAACCTGGTAACCCCAGCAATCGTCTGTCGTCTTACCCAGGACGAGGACGCAGTTTATCGTCATAACCAGGACGATAATCGAACTGGGCTATTAACCACTTCATAAAACCTGTAGTATAATCATATTCTGCTAGTCCCTTCGTTTGTTAGTTAGCGCATATCTTAAGCCTTGCCATTACCTCAGATAAATAATAGGCCTTTCCTGTTTGACGGTGTGTATACACAGAAGAAAATATATATCAAAGGTGTTCTTTGGTTTTAGGGTAAGAAAGAAGACAAGCAGGCGATAACACGCACATGTGTTTAACGTCTGCTTCAGTGAAAAGGAAAACTTTGTCAATTTTTAATCTTTTAATTTGTACACTCATACTTCTTTAAATAATAACCTGTATGCATATTTCTTTTTGCTGTTGTAATATTTTGTTAAAAGTTGTTAAACTCAAATAATTCTGCCATAGTGGAATGACCACGCGTATTTTATAGTCGTGTAACTCACAAAGAGCTTATTCATTAACTTAAAAATTAAAATTCATCAGGAGATTCAAATAAGAAAATCATGAATTTTTCACGAGTAGTTCTAGAAACAGAAGAAATTCTTAAACCGAGGAATGGCCAATGCTTATGATTGAAATATTTAGAAATAGAAGTGGACATTTTGCAGATAGAAATTTAATTTCAGTATCCAATAATAACCAGAAAAGTCTTCCATAATTCCGCTTCAGTTCTCAATGATTTGTAGCGATTTTCCAAGCGTAGCTTAGATGTGACATATGGTCGAAAGTATAGGGCACCCAGTGAGGATCGAACTCACTACTCAGTCGTAACTGTTCTAGCGAAACAAGTTTACTAACCATTACACCGCCTCGAGGTGCCCTTCTCAACGATTTATATATGTGCATCTGGCTTCTCTGTCGAACCTTAAGAGAAAATTTGGAAACGATTGACGAGGAAATAGGAGTAACCCTATCCGCCATAAAACCCAATATTACTAGAATCTTTTGTCATGAACAAGCTCAAATTTTCCCGTTGATAGCAATCAGAAGGTAAATTAGCTTTAAATTTTACCTGAAATCTTTGTTGGATATTTTGCTGAAATAAAAATGTTATTGATTTTTGAACGCGATATCCGACTCTGTGGTCCCATTCGCCACATTTTGTTTAGGATCAAAGTGTAATCTATTTACTTATATCAAAGAAACATCATCTTCTGCCATATTCTGTGTCCCTACAGAGTGTAAGTTAGCATGGTTCTTCACGACTTCTTATTCTTTGTAGCTCTTAGTAAATTTAGTCTTTTCGTTATCTTTTCCAACCCCTATTTACCCAATCATTTATCGAAGCTCGTTGGGTAGGTTACTCGTTGTTTTCCTCTGTTCCTTTGGGACGTTGACGGTCATGGCTCTTCACAATTTCCTCCCTTTTCCTTTTCTATAACTTCCAATCTAAGTTCTGCCATCCATTTACAAGAGTTCGTTAGGTAGGTTACTCATTGTTTCCCCTCTGTTCCTTCAGGACGTTGGCGGTCATGGCTCTCCACAATTTCCTCCCTTTTCCTTTACTATCGTTTTCAGTCAAAGTTCTGCTATCCATTCACACAAGCTCGTTAGGTAGGTTACTCGCTGATTCCTTCTGTTCCTCCAGTACATTAGCGGTCATGGCCCTCCACTATTTCCTCCCCTTTCCTTTACTATCGCTTCCAGTTCGAGATCTACTATCCATTTACACAAGCTCGTTAGATAGATTACTCGCTGTTCCTTCAGGACGTTGATGGCCATGGCTCTCCACTATTTCCTTCCCTTTTTTTTACTGTCACTTCCAGTCCAAGATCTACTATCCGTTTACACAAGCTCGTTAGGCAGGTTACTCGCTGTTTCCTTCTGTTCCTTCAGGACATTGGTGGTCATGGCTCTCCACTATTTCCTCCCCTTTCCTTTACTATCACTTCCAGTTCGAGTTCTACAATCCATTTTCACAAGCTTGTTAGTTAGGTTATTAGCTGCTTTCTTCTCTCCCCCCCCCGCCTTCAAAATGTCCTGTGGTTGTTAAATTCTCCAGGTTCTCTTTCTTCTTTATGTATCCTAGAAATTTCAGTTTTCTCTTTCTAAGTATAAGCGTCCTTTTTGTTTGCATTTTGCTTAAAACTCCCTCGTTGTCTGTGGTATTCTCAGTATCCTTCTGTAGAACCACTGTTGTCTCGTCAAGTGTCTTCTTCATGTGAGGATATGTGTGCTGAGTTCTGCAATGAAAACAGGTTGAAACAAATAGAAAAATATTTTTAGCCGAATACACACTCGTTAATATTTATTATTTTTTCAGCGTTTCATATCAAAGTTCATGTTGTTGCTATTCATTTAACATTTGTTGTATCTCTTTTCAGGGCGATAAAGGCAGTACGGGTTCTCCTGGTCCTACTGGTCCCCGTGGATCAATGGTAAGTATTTTCAAGAATATTCTTGTGCCTTCTGTATCAATTTTGATTTCAGTCTATAATTCACTCTCTCCTCCTCACTTCTCTATCGCTTTCACTTCGTCTCTCTTTTTCTTTATTTCTCTTTTTCCCTCACTTTGTCTTCTTTTTCTTTGTCCCACACTTTGTCTGCCTTTCTTTCTCTTTGTCCCTCAGTTTGGCTCTTTCTTCCTATCTTCCTCGCTCTAACCTTTTCCCTTCCTCGATTTGCATTTCTCTTCTTTCTTTCTCTCTCTCTCTTTCTATCCATCACTGTTTCTTCCTCCCACACCTCATATATATATATATATATATATATATATATATATATATATATATATATATCAAATGGATCAAACTGTATAGTTTCCTACAAAATTTTGGGCACAAGTTCGAATCCCGGCGGACATTTTCTTCCGAATGCACAGACATAATTTACACATTTTTTAGAAAACAGAGCGTCTGCTCAAACACGGATATCGACAAAATAACGTTTGGTGTAGTAGGAGATAGACAGACAGATATACGTATTTCATGGTACAGCGACATTTTAATAAAATAGGTTTGATGACGACAGTACTAATGGTTATATTTTCATATCTTGAACAAGCGATGATATTTCGATCTGATTATTAAGTGGAGAGAAAAATACGACAAAAGTCACACATTTCGGTAGTTGAGAACTTTTGCTTTATTCCGGTGAAGCTTTGTTATTATTCATGAATTGCCATGCCTTCTTGGGAAAGATAGTGGTGTGGTTTCCGATGCCTTTTCCGCAAACTCCTTTTATTTATTAACTGGAAATTACCCTGCCTTCTTGGAAAAGAGAGCGGAGTTTTTTCCCGTTGCTTTCTCCATAGATTTCTTTTCTTAATTATCTGTGAATTGCTTTGCATTCAAGGGAAATTTAGTGAAGTGGTTTCCCGTTGCATTCCCAAAAAGATTCTTTTTCTTTATTACCTGTGAATTGCCATGCTTTCTTGGAAGAGATAGTGGGGTTGTTTCCCCTTGCTTTCTCTACAGATTCATTTTCTTTATTATATGTGAATTGTCATTCTTTCTATGGAAAGATAGTGAAGTTGTTTCCCCGTTGCTTTCTACACAGATTACTTTATTATCTGTGAATCGCTATGCATTGTTGGGAAATATAGTGGTGTTGTTTCCAGTTACCTTCTCCGCAGATTCCATTTCTTTATTATCGATGAATTTTCCTTCTTTCTTGCGAAAGATAATGCTGTGCTTTTCCGTTGCCATCTCCACAGATTCCTTTTCTTTATTATCTGTGAATTGTCATGTTTGGAAAAGGTAGAGGTGTTGTTTCCACTTGCTTTCTCCACACCTACCGTTTCTTTATTATCTGTGATTTGCTCTGCCTCTTGAAAAAGATATTGGGGTTGTCTCCCGTTGCCTTCGCCACAGATTTTTTGCTTTAATATGTATGAATTGTCATGCTTTTGGGGGAAAGATAATAGAGTTGTTTCCCTTTGCCTTCTCCACGGGTTCTTTTTCTTTATTATCTGTGAATTGCCATGCTTTCTTGGGCAATATAGTAGAGTGTTTTCCTATTGCCTTCTCCTCAGTTTTGAAATAAGAATAATCCTTCTCCTAGACTAAAGCTAAAGAGCCTAATCGACCGTAAAATTTTAACCATGTCTGTGGTTTGAAAATATGGATTCATGCCTTTCTAGGGTGTCAGTGCAAAAATGAACGCTACATACTCGGTTAGGATTTGAACACGGGTCACCAGTTCACCCTCTCTTGTCTCGTTCCGTTACCATCGTTATAAAAAAAAAGAAAAAAAAAGTGGTCTAAACACTTTTTGAACTTTCAAGCCTTAAAATGGTAACAAGAATATAAACGTAGGCATTAGCAGTTCATTCTGAGATTTTATCTCTAAAAATGTCGTTGGAAAGTCCGAACATTTGTTTTTGCTTTTTCCAAGCGCTGTCAACATTTTAGCTGTGCTTTATTTATCAAATACGAAAAGGAAGACAGATGTCGCGCTCTAAATGTTCTTGTGTGACCCATCTATTTTAGATAGGGGGCACATGTTTCCGACACTTGGACGGGGAAAAATGTTTGCCTTTCTTTTATTAAATCTTTTTCTTTTTCTTACTTTTCTTTTTCTTCTTTTCTCTTTATCTTGTTTTTCCTTTCGTTCTTTTTTTTTTGCTTGTTTCCTTCTTTCTTTTCCTTCTTTCTTTTCCTTCCTTTTTGTTTTCTCCCCCCTTTTGCTTCTTCTATTTTCTTCCAGTTTCTTCATCTTTCTTTTTTTTTCTTTTCCGCTTTTAACTCCTTTTCTTCTTTTCCTTTCTTTTCTTGTTTTTCCTTTTCTTTTTTTATCTTGTTTTTTTTTTCTTTGTCTACTTTATTTTTCTTCTTTCTTTGTTTTTCTTGTTCTTCTTTTTCCTTTCACTTTCCTTCTTTGTATAAATTTCTTCGTTATCACCATCTTTATTTTATTCCTTAATTTTTCTTATTTTTCTTTCTTTTTTTTCTTTTTTGTTCCTTTTATACATCTTATTACTTTCTTCTGTATCATCTTTATTTCTTTATCTTATTCTTTTTCTTCTTCTTCTTCCCATTTTCGTTTTTTATTTTCTTTCTGCTCCTTGTTTTCTTCGTTTCTTTCTTTTCCAAAGAGGAAGTTTCTAAAGAGACAGGTAGAATTCCCTAAGTGGTTATGCGGTTGTAATGTTTGCTTGTTATTTTTTTTCCAGTATTTGTTATTATCTTGCTTTCAAGACATCGTCGCTTTGTCTTCTGGCTTGTATTTAGATGGTCCCAAGATAACACCTGATTGATAGCGCCAATTACGCTGTCTGTAAAGACGGCACGGCGCTGGCGAAACAGTAACAAGAAGAGCGGGGAATGGCGACAGGAAGAAGAGAAAGGTTTTAAAAATAAACGAAAAACGATGAATCTAGGAATCAAAAAATGTCAAAGAGAAAATTACTGAAGAGAAGAAGCGGGTGCCAATTTTAAAAATGAAAAAGGTGGGGCTCTTTGTTAACAGGAAGAATTTCTGAAAGAAAATGGACAATGACAAAACAAATGACACTGAAAAAATTGCTGTGTAGGCATATATATATATATATATATATATATATATATATATATATATATATATTTATGTATAAAACAGAGGATGCCTGTGTGTCTGTCTGTCTGTCTGTGTGATACCTTTTTATTTGTACAATGTAAGAGATAGGTTCCTAGCGCAAAAAATCGATAATTTAAAAAATCAAAAATCGATAAATTCAACTTTTTCCTTCGATTTCTCTCAAACTCAGTATGTAGGTTACTTACATCATGACGACCTCAACAATATCTCATTTTTATTTATGCGTTTAGCAAAAAACGAATAATCGACTTCAACACAAATCGATTTCAAAACTAATTTTAAACTAAAAACTCACTAAATTTTCAAGCAATCTAATACAAACTTCACTCAATTGTAGCCAACAATAAGTTGATTGCTTAAAAGTCATTTGACTTAATAAATAAGTCCACCCATATAATAAAGTCCCGCGTAAATAGCGAAAAATGGCGATTTTTACTGGTTTCTTTCTTATTTTTCGTTGATCGTTCAACCAATTTTCATCAAACTTAACAATTTCTTTATAAATGTAACCTCTTTTACATCCCTGGTAGCACACTGACAAATTAAATTTCAAAAACTCCAAAATAATTGTTGTCTGAAGTGAGTCTTCATGTTGCCGACATGAAAGACGACTGACAAGTTACTGCGATTAAGCTTTTTATTTTTAAATAAAACATTCCTATAACTTTAGACACATACATAAAAAACACACATTCAGTTAAAATAAAAATAGACCTTGATAATGGCTAAAAGAATAGCCGAAAGCGCTCGCACGTGCAGAACTTTCGAACAGTTTTTACACAGTCTGTGTCCAGAAAAGAAAACACTTGTTCGTTCGAACACAAAAAAAATTAAATAAAAAGCTTAATCGCAGTACCTTGTTTGTCGTCCTAATGAAACATGTATAAAAGAGGGAATAATGCCCAAATACATCACTGTTATATATATATATATATATATATATATATATATATATATATATATATATATATATATATATATATATATATATATATATATATATACACACACACACACACAGAGGAGTCACTGTGTAGTAGTGAATAGCGGCTCGGATTGAGAAATCGGAAAGCCGAGTTCGAATTCCAGTCGAATCTATTACATTCACTTACGTGCTAATAACCTTGGGAAAGGTATTAATCTCCTTCTTCTTCCTCCAGCTCTGGTTAAATAGCAGGACAGACTGGGTTCCATAGTCTGGATGGCAACTAGTCTATGAGGACAACTCCTCCCTGTTTAATTTTTCATTGTATTTTTCCAGTTGCGGAGGGTCGTTTGGGGACCTTGCAGCAGGTCTCTGTATTCACCAGCTGTCGGTTCCTAGGAACTGAGCTGCTTGACCCTCAAACGTTGAATACGACGGAAGAGTCCACCATATATATATATATATATATATATATATATATATATATTAAAGAAAAACAGACCACTTTAAGGTTCCATTATAATAATTTATTTCACCAGAGCCCTTTTAAAGGACTCTGGATCATCAGATAGCACTTCCAAAAGGTGAAACGAAATGAAATGAAAATTCATACTTTAGATGGGTAGTGTAAGTTTTTGTAATTTTACAGAGGGGTAATGAGTGGTGGTTTGAGAGACATGGTCGAGTTTAGAGAGGGTTTATTTAATATTTCTTTCAATCATACTTAGTTTTTTTTTGGGGGGGGGGGGAGTTTGATTAAAAAGTACCGACAAGTCCTCCCTGTTTAATTTTTCATTGTATTTTTCCAATTTTCTAAAAAGGTGTTGAGTATTGTCCTCGAAGTTGCGGATAAACTGTCCAAAGTTCATATTTTGTTATTTTTGTACTTTCGACCGTCTCAGTCATTTTCAAGAACCAATGTCTGTATCAAACAGC